GCCAGGAATTGGGCCAGGGGCAGCGAAGCTGGCAAACTAGGTCTTCAAATCCGACAGGGGCCAGAATCTGCCCTGGGCGGTCCCATGGGGCTACCACAAGCGTCAGTGAGGGTGAATTTGGCCTGCAGAATTGCTACCGCTGGTGGTGATGGTATATGAGTCATGAGTCAGACGTAGCCCTGGGGCTGGGGGAACTTAGAATGGAGGGAAGGGTGGAGTTACGAGGCCTTGTGGTTAAGGTGGCTGGTCTGGGACTAAACTGCTCTGGGGAGCAGCGGCAGCCGGTCAAAGAGAGACAGCAAAGGCAACGGGGTTCCACCAAGACTATTAATCTGAGGGGCGGCTGTCCGTAACTGAAGGGAGACAGCGCGGTCGAGCGGGTTGGGCGCTGGACTGGGAAGCGGAACTCCTGGGTTCTGATCCCAGCTGCAACTGACTGGCTGGGTGACTCTGGCCAAGTCCCTTCTCCTTTCGTGCTGTGTTTTCGCTGCAGCACTTAGCCAAGCTCTCCCCAGCCGCCTCACTGACTCAGCCGCTGCTGTCATGAGGGTGGCCACATTGCCAAATGCTGGAGCTGCCCCGCGTGATTGCATTAGCAGCTGACAGGCAGTTCCAGCGCCTGCTGCGTAGTCCATCCTGCCGGCCGGGGGCCAGCCAACTCCCAAAGCACCACCACGCTCTCTTGAGATTGTAAGCTGCTCCAGGCAGAGGCTGGTTCTCCCCATGGGTCTGTACAGCACCGCGCCCCGGCCTTGCAGCGCGTTAGCGCCGGCACACAAAATAGACCTCCCCCGCCCAAGCCTGAAACACTTACTAAGACAGGAGCAGCTGCCGTGGGGAAGGCGTCTCCTCTCCAGGGTGCAGCAAACAGAAATCCCAGAGGATCCTGTGCGTCCCTGGCTGTCCCCTACAAGAGAGCGAGGCAGGGCACATGTCCTAGGAGCTGTGCCTCTTTGGCATCTCTGCAGCACCCTTCATGCTGTCCAAGAAGCAGGCCGCTGTCTGTCACTCCTGCACTGGTTCTTCCTCCCCCAAGAACCGCCCCCCCCCCGCTTGCTTCTCTCCATCCCTCCCCCTTATGGCCTTTTAAGGGGGGGGCATGGCCTCCTGCCCTCGCCCCGTTCCAGCACCCCTGCTTTCCACCTCCTGCACACAGCCAGCGCTTAGCGCTGTCCTACAGGCACTGAGTCAACCAGATTACACGGCGCAATGAGGGGCGTATTTCCAGACGACTAGGCAGACGAGTATTAAGCCCTAGGGGCAGCACCCAGTGTAATTTTGCTGCTAATTCGAGCCCTGCATATAACCTCCTGTGTCAGAGATGGAGGACACCGATAATCCTTAACATGTATCTCGCCAGCGCTTTCCACCCGCAGATCACAACCCACTTCACAAAGTTCTGCACATTTTGGGAGTGACTTTTTGTTCTGTGTTTGGGCAGCACCTTGAGTCTTGGGGGCCTGGGCGGACTGGAACTCCTAGCTGCTAATGCAATAGAGCAATAGCCCCATTTTACACTGGGGGAAACTGAGGCAGAACGAGGCGAAGGGACTTGCCCACCACGGTCACACAATGGCTCAATAGCAGAGCTGGGAGTAGGACCCAGGTTTCCTCCCTCCCAGACTGGTCCCTAACCACGGCACTTGCTGCCTCCCTCCAGGATTAAGCTGCGAGATTTTTGCTATTCCCAGTCATCCTATAGCTACCAATTAGCTTAGATTGGGATTAGGGCCCTGATTCTCTTCTCCCTGGTATTGGCATTATACTCCGCTGTAACTCAAGTGACTCAAATGCAGCAGCGTCTGTCACAGGACAGGGCAATTGCACATGTATTCTTCCTCTACCGTCCAGCAACGGCACCTTCTCCAGGCTCCTTGGGCGGAGACCCGCTCTCTCTCCCTTTTGACCAGGGCATTTCCAGGCTGTGCTGTCCCCCCGACTGTACTGCGAAATCCCCAGGGAAAGACGGACACCTAAGCAGCCCTGCTTCATTTCTCTCTGCGGAGACTTTATACAGTGTAATTGCTACCTGTGGCGGGGCGACGACTCACCGACGCGGCACCTCCTGCTGGTCGTCCTGGGAATTAGCTCTTCCGGCCCGGAGCGCCTTCTGCAGGCCAGTGTCTCGCCTGCCGCTGGCCCCCGTGTCCCTCCTGGACTCCGGTGCCCTTTACCCTAGCCTTCTTATAGGGCCAGCTGAGGTCTGATTGGGGCGTGGCCCCCCCTTCTCCCAATCAGCCTAGCTTTTCCCCACCACAGCCCTCTCCAGGGCTGTTTTAAGCCCTTCAGGGCAGGAGCGGGGTGACCACCCCACTACACTACCGTTATAAGAATCATAGAATCATAGACTTCAAGGTCAGAAGGGACCATTATGACCATCTAGTCTGACCTCCTGCACAGCGCAGGCCACAGAATCTCACCCACCCACTCCTGTAACAAACCCCTGACCCATGTCTGAGCTATTGAAGTCCTTAAATCGTGGTTTAAAGTTCCCACACTGCCCTTTCGAAGCAAGCGCTTTTATTCTTAAGGAAAAAGTGTATTTAAAACGATCAAAGAACCTCCATGCACGCTACTAAACTCACCGGAGCTCACGCCCTAACTCCAGCAAGGGCTCAGGTTGGTGGGAAGTCCTTCAAACCCCAACACAGGGGTTTTGCCTGCGGTCACCCGTTCATACCCCTTTCACTCAGAACTTGCTCGCTCATGGATCTGAGCCTCTCTTCCTTTCATCCAGTGGGGCTTCCAAGCCACCGTGACTAGGTCATCAGCCAGACGATGGGTTTCTGCTCAAGGTGCAACTTCAAAAGGATGGCTCCAGAGGTGGGTCGTTTGCATGCCCCGCCTCCCAAGTATTTCCCGGGAATCCCGCTACTTTGTTTGTCGAACACAATGGAGCCGCAAATGGCTCTTCAATGCGTCTCCTGTGGCTCTTTGCAGCACATGATATTAAACCACGGTGTGATTTAGTTATTAACCAATCTGAGTTATTAGCCAATCGGGATGCCTTGACTATGTTATTAACCAATTAAGTCATCAACTTGCACTAAGTTATTAACTTATTTGCTGTGAGAATAATATATATATTAACTATTTCCCGGGTCATTCACCCTCCTGGGGCTCTTTTGGGTCACTTTGATCACTAATTTGACTCCTGAATCACTGAGCTGTGAGTATCACTGGTCTAACCCCTTGTTTCAAAGCATCCTTTGAAGCACATAACACATCCCAGGGGTTACAGTAGCTAAGACGTCTCCTTAAAGAAGGTACAGACAATCCCACGTCACACACAAACATTTGCATTTTTAATGCGATGAACTCCGAAAACACTCAATAAAGTTTGTCACTTGCAGGAAATTGCCAGAACAATCACATCTTCCGATTTACGAGCGTGGAAGAGCACGTCCACTCTGCAAACTCAGGGGTGACTGTAGTGCAGACAAGTATAACCATGCTCGCTTTCATCCAGCTAGCACGGGTAACAAACACATGGTGGCACGGACGTCAATGTAGGTCAGCAACAAGGGTACAGACCTGGCGTGCCTGGTTGCAAGTTCATAGTGAAGCTTTGGCTGTCACATCTTCACTACTCGCCTAGTGGCGCCTACTAGATTGAAGCTAGTCTGGGAATGGCCACCTGAGCTGGAATCCTACCTTCACTTGCAGGACAGACATAACCTGAGTGAGAAGCGAATCAGGCCCTAGATTTGAATGAGATTAGAAAGATTTATGCACCGGTTCGCCTAGATGAGAAAGGCGCCGGTATGTTGAATGGAACTTATGGGAGAGGCTGCAGTACATTAAGTCTATAGCCTCGCTAGTAGGATGCAATCCTTCTCGGATGGTGCACTTCGCAGCTCACACACTGACACAACACTGACGGCCAGCCCTGCACGGCCCAGGCTCCTCTGACAGAGATTCAGCATTCCAAAAGCGAGGGCAGCTTGTGCCAGGACTAGGTCCCTCCCACAAGCCGGGTTATGCCAAACCAGGGGGTGGAGCTGCGCAGGTGGCAGGACATCAGATGTTCTCTACGCCAAGGCAGCAGAGATGCTCCCGTCTAGGCCTCTCATTCTGGGTTGCTCAGAGCCCTTTGTGGTTGTTATTTGTATTTCGGTAGGGCCTAGAGGAGGGCCCCTTCGTACCGGGCACTGTATGTGATCGAAATCCGGGGCACTCTGCATAATGGAGCGAGCCGCTCCGGCTTCGCCCTGAGATGAGAATCTGGCCTCGGGGGGGAATCGGAGGAGGAGCTGGGCCCAGTCACAGAGCACTCACTGTACAGCTGGTTCAACTTGTTCAGACACTTGAGAGTTTATATGTTCCCCGATGCCACAGCAACCAGCTGAGGAATGAGCGTGAGAGATAAGCATCGTGTGCCTCCCACGGGAACCCTTCCACCCGACAGACAGCTGCCTCACTCCCCCCGTCTTCAGATTTCTCCCTTTAACGGCTGCTCCCGTCGCTGGTCGCTGCTGCCGGTCATTCAGGTAGGGCGAGCCGGGGATAGCCAACAGCACAGGGGTAGGGGTTCTGCCTGGCGGGCGCCTGGTACATTCATCCGCACCGTGATACCGAGAGATCATATTGGGCCCTTCGCACAGGGGTGAGTTGCAATCCCAGAGCCAACCTAGGACCACTAGCAGGAGGCTAGAAGGCCTGCAATTGCAACACCTGCCCAATGCTAATTGGCTAATGCCAATAATCAACCCAGCGTGTGAGCTGCACAATGGCTCCCGCCGATGCCAAGAATAATGATAAACGACGTGGCTTTGCGCTGCAAAACATTCCTTGGCTGAGTGCAGCCCCCGCCTGCTAACACCTGATTTTCTGTGCAAGGCAGATACAGGCACCTCTTGGATCTAGCCATCTCTCACTTGTCTGTTGCTACAGCTACAAATCTGACCCTTGGATAATACCCTGAGGCTTTCTTTTGCACAGGGTCTCTGCTACAAAAGGGGACACATTCCTTGGCTACTGTGCTCTGGGCTTTCCTGCAGTTCTGTCGCCACCTGCTGGCTCCTCGAGGCTGAGAACTCTGATCCCTACATTGATGTGAACGCGGAATTCCACCGTAATTTACAGCCAGAGGCCGCCAGATCACGTTAATGTCCCTAGAGGAAGATGGAGCATGTGGGATGCCCGCTGTAGGGTTCCACATGAAAATGACACTGAAAGGATGTTTGCAGTGTTGTTAGGGTGACCAGATGTCCCGATATTACCAAGACCATCCTGATATTAGGGGCTTTTTCTTATATAGGCAACTATACCCGCTCCCGGGGAAAAAAGTGTCCCAATTTTTCACACTTGCTATCAGGTCACCCCAAGTGATGTAACTATGCTGGTCCCAGGATATTAGAGAGACAAGGCGGGTGAGGTAATATCTTGTATTGGACCAACCTGTGGAACTCCTTGCCAGAGGATGTTGTGAAGGCCAAGACTATAACAGGGTTCAAAAAAGAGCTAGATAAGTTCATGGAGGATACATCCATCAGTGGCTATTAGCCAGGATGGGCAGGGATGGTGTCCCTAGCCTCTGTTTGCTAGAAGCTGGGAATGGGCGACAGGGGATGGATCACTTGATGATCACCTGTTCTGTTCATTCCCTCTGGGGCACCTGGCACTGGCCACTGTCAGAAGACAGGATACTGAGCTAGATGGACCTTTGGTCTGACCCAGTATGGCCATTCTTATGTTCTTATATTCAACTTCTGTTGGTGGAAGAGACAAGCTTTTGAGCTGCACAGAGCTCTTCTTCAGGTCTGTGGAAAGAAATCAGCGTGTCTGAGCTAAATTCAAGTTGGGGCAGATAGTGGACCACAAGGAGTAACCTGCCGTGGGAGGTCCCCCGGAGATGGAGGTTGTAAAGGTTGTAAAGAGAAGAAGGGAAAAAGTAAATGCCAAAGTTAAGGCTGCACAAAGAAGCTTAACCTTGCCCCCTTGTGGCTGTAATCCGTGATCCCGGGCTATTTCTCATATACTATACAAATTTTGCTATAGCCTTAGACACGCCTGTCACCCCCCGCCCCACTTCAGACCCACGGAGCCATTCACATAGGCCAACCACATACTCAGCCACAAACACACACACAACCACAGTCATGCACAAAGCTCTACACAAACACACATAGATCCACTACATTCACAACCTACACACGCACCTAACCACATAGACACACTAACACACAGTCTCCCACACACTCTCACCCAACCTGAGCATACACTCACAAACACCTACACACATACTAACACACAGTCTCCCATACACTCTAACACAACCTGTGGATACACTCACAAACACCTACACACATACTAACACACAGTCTCCCATACACTCTAACACAACCTGTGCATACAC